TGTGAATTTCTGTTTGACGGGTGGGATATGGTGGTAAATTTACAGGGTACAGAAGTGTAACACCTTAGTCCTCAGGAATGAAAACGCATGGAGATATCATGGGCGAAACAGTATACTCTGTTATGTCCATGGTACTGCTCATGTCTATAGGCGACGGTTACCACTTTCCATCAGGTGGGCTGTCATCTTGTTTGCTATTCTAAGTTGCATAAAAAAGAAAAAAGATACTGAGTAGGTTTGTTTAAATATGTCAAGATTTTACCTAATTCTGAGTGTTCTACCCTTTGTACAACAGTTTGTGTTCAGAGAAATTGTTCTATATGATGTCCACGGCCACTTTTTATCATCATCAACGGGAAGTTCACTCCCATATTTTTGAGTCTGGATGGCCACGTTTAATGCGAACAAACAAGTTACGGAATAAGCTCCCTATCGAGGCTTTTCCAATAAACTTAAGCATGGGGATTTTCAAAAAAGGGTTAAAGAGGTTTCTTCAGGATCGGCAATTCGTAATACCTGTTATTGCAGGCGTTCATAGGCTACAGTAGGCGTTTACCTTCAGGAGGGCCGTATGCTGTATGGTTTTACCTGAAATTGTGCTACCTATCAAGAATAAATTCATGGATATGTATGCATGCACTCAGACGAGTTATAATTTATTAATGATTGTCAAGATCCTGTATGTATTCATCAGCTTATGCAGGCAACTCTTGTTGACTATAAGTTAGCAAACTTGTATGTGATTGTTCCGCAACTTATGTGAAACTAGAGCTATTAATATTTCTATATAAGTATCTAAATAAATTAAGACATCTTTTACGGTTATTTCTGGCATGTGGATTTTACATGAAATTAACAATCTTATTTAATACGAGTATTTACCGTACAAAATGTTTGAAATATGTTTTATTAAATAAAGTTTATTAAGGTTTTTAAATTGACTATATTTTATGTCTTTTTTTTTATAGTTAGTATCGGGAATGACAAACAAACTACCAGCTTATTTAATAAACTTATAAGAATCATTTATTATTACAGATATAAGAAACAATATATCAGAGAATTATTGAATACGCGGCGCCCTTAATACTTTGTTAAATTTGAAACTCTACTTCTTGTAATGTTAATTTTTTGTCCTTATCAACACACTTTCTATAATTGCAACTTGTTTTGAGAGGAATAATGAAATAAATTCTATTTATAATTATTTATGGCTTTTGTGCTAAAAGTGCGTGAATTAGTGCATAGTTCTACTTTATAGTTAATTGACATTTTATTATATATATTGAGGTCGCAAATGTAATCTTGGTCTAACACAAAACCAAACTCGCATCGAAGCTTGTCTTATTTCATCAAATTTGCAAACATGAGGGGATTCTGATTCAGATTTTCACTTGTATGATAATTAGAAGTGGTCCCTTATGGGCAAGACAAAAATAATCAAAAGCGATTCTCCTTTGTCCTTACATAAAATGTCGAATCTTGTTAAGTCCTATTTTACTGTTTGTCGCTATAAAAACAATGTTATAAAACGTATTTACTAATAATAAATATGTATAAAGATGCAGAATAACTAAAATTACCATTTTAGTCTGAAGGATAAGCATGTTAAAGCAAGAGAGCCAGCCGTATATGTAGCTCAGAGAATCAATAAAATCAATAAGAAATGGTTCGCGAGAGATTTATCTGACAGACAAATGTAGTGAAGGATGATTCTCCATTAGAGTAGGCGACAACCCTGGATTCTGAAAAGCGATTTTTTATTTTTAACCAAATGTATTTTTTATCTCTAAATTAATGAAATTAATAAATATCGTTATCGCTTACCATCAGACGAGCCATTCTAAGTTGCATAAAGAATATGAAAAACGAAATAAAGTGCCCTTCTCTACATCTGAATTCTTTAGCATAAATTACTACCTTCATTAGTATATTTTATTTTATTTATAACTGATCTACTGTTTTAAATTCTAACAAAAATGTCCTATAAATTCTAAAATATCTCCATACTCATTTTTTTTAAAAGAAAACAAAACAAAATGACAATCACAATCTCCTTGCATTGTAAAGAGAGGACTGTTCCGAATATATGGTTATAAACAATTTCTAGTGATTTACGAAACCAAAACATGCTTGATAGTGATAGTGTTTATGATAAAATTGATCATTTGTGATTGCAATAAGGTTAAGCAAGCTAAAGTTGTAATCATAACTTCAAGAATAGATAACTGAAAAGAAATTAAGTTTATTCAGTGATAACTCTCTAAAGCAGATAGAGCAACTGAGTTTTACAGTTATTGTAATGGATGACAATGGAATGATAACCCCGCCTCAATCGGTGTAAACTGGCTGGATACTGGCAAACCTCGACACATGAGAATAAAAGCAGACAGCTTATCGTGGCGAATTCATCAAGAATTAACCACTATGGTTTCTTAAGGGGGCCGGGTAGAGCAACTTATACGCTGTAGCAATATATCTTTTTGTTAGGTCAACCCAAACCAACCCCATCACCAGCAATATGCCCTGCAATATAGCTGGTGATGTGGTTGCTACTCGCTATTGATAACAATTTCTTCGTCCTATAAATATATTTTCAGTAGGTAATATGACTTAGAACCGTTTTTTATTATACTTGTAGTAAATTAATACCTTAAATTATGGTAAAAGTAAAAACCAAAGATTAAAGATTAAAATTTGTATATTTGGTACTTCGTATATTTTTTCATTTACATTTTGAGTCGATAAGAATTATAATAATTATCGTATAATCTTAGACGATAATAATAATAATAATTTATAATAAAGAACAATATAAACGTAACACACTCCGAATGTTAAAATTAAAATATTTAACAAATTCTATATAGGTTACAGTATAACTAACTATAAGTAGTATAAATATTAATATCATATTATTAAATTTAGAACAATTTTTTATTGAACAAGTAGCTAGATTTTAAATAGTACAGAATAGCCTATTATGTAACTGACGTATTGTATTATTAAGTGTACGAAACATTCTAAATGTTTTTATACTAAATAAGAATTTACTGGCATTTTTTAATTTACACAAAATTGGAGACTGTACAAAAACCTGTATGTTTATTGGAAAACGGGTGTCATACTTAGAGAATAATATTTCACAATTTGTAAATCAGTAGTTGATTTATTAAAATTATTGCAATTATAATACGTTATTTCTAAGTAATTTTGGGTTCGTAATACACTTGCAATGGCATAATGTCTTATGAACCATTTAATTTCTATTAACAGAATAGTATTTTATTTTATTTTTAAATAGAACCCACACAATTAGCCAGGGCTCGGCGCTAAATTATGAGGTTCTAGATATCTTTGTTACTCCGCATTATTAAAAATAGTAAAATAATAAAGAGCAACTACTAAATGTCAACTATTAGAAGAAATATAATAAATGAGATTACTGTTGGAAAAAAACATATTTACAATTAAATTTGGTGTTATTTCTGATAAAATAAAAAAATACTAGGTATACTATTATTTGATTAAGATCACACGCACGTTGGAAGACTATATGAAAACCTTTAATGAGAAAAAAAGAAGAATATAAAAAAAATTTGCTCATCCGCTATTGCTCTTAATTTCAGTACATACATATTGATAAAACTATTATTATTCTAAATATTTAATATACAACGAATACGGCAATGGTGTTGCAGTGTTATTATTTTACTTATAATTAAAATAATTATTCTCTACTTATTTTTACATTTAATTATTTTAAAAATGTCTAATGCAGAATCTAATTTTACACCGATTTAGAATTAAATTGTCGTTGTTGTTCATTTATGTAGATATTTGAAATTTGGATACATTATTAAGTAGAATGAAAAAGGTTTAAATATATACTATTATCAGTCATAGGTACCTATAGTTGATTAATGTATAAGTTTATATTTAAAATAAAGGTATATTTACCTAATCATAAGTATGATTAAAATTTTATTTTTATAACTTTGAACAAGATTACTATTTTTTTTTATGGAAAATAATAATTGGTAATATAAAGAAAAATCTAAGTAGTTATGGAAAAAGTATCATAGAGCAGATTGATATACGTATTTATGTAAAGATTTTGTTCGGATAAAATTTATTCATAAGTTTAGAAAAATTTACACGAAGTATTTGGTGTTCTTTTTGGAATAATTAATATCTTATATTTAATATTATTTTCTACTTCATATCTTATTCTACATAAGTACAATATTTACATAATCCAGAAGTAAAAAAATTGTTTAAGTATAAATAAATTATATGCGACCAGCGCAATCAATAAAATTATTATTGTAACATTTATTCAATCAGAAAGACGGTTTAAGTGATACAACTTAAGTATAAAACTTGACATAAATATATACATATAATTAATTAAGTGCATTTTATTGTTGTGTAGTGCTCGTTCGATAGGCACAGAGGCACAGTCATTTTTTATTATTTAAATAGATTTACCCTAGAATAGAATTGTTATATTGCGAACACTGTAATTAAGAATAAATGCAGTTTAAATTTTATTTCTCGAAAAAAATACAGTGTTGAATTTATTTATGTTGTAATTGGGATTTAGAAAAAATCCGTTTACATTTTAAGTGTTTGTATGAAGAAATAGAAAAAATGTTCACAATACAACTAATCCATTTAAAACACCGCATCTTTACAATGATAATTTAATCGGCTTTTTAATGAAAATGTGTTGTGAATTAATTTAAGTGATTAGGAATTAGTTATCTAAGTTATTTTTTTTTATAAGAAATCAAAACATAACAATTTTAGAAAACAGCAAGTATTTATTTTACTTTTTAAATAAATCTATTTTTTTAATAAAAGTTTTATTAGAAAAATGAGGTAAAATTTTAAGCGTTTAATTAATTTGATATTATTTCAGTTATCTCTGATTTCTTATAAAACTTTTTATTTTATTTGGATTAGATTATTAGAGTGTAGTTGTATGTGTTAGGTATCTTAGGACATCACTTTCAGCAAACAATTAGACAAAAATCTACAATACTTTGTACGTACCTTAAGCGTATGGGTATTTCTGCAAGGGATTACCATAAATATAAAAATATATAATTCCAAATTAATATATTTTCAAATACATATTCTCCTATTATTTATTATAATATATATTTCAACTAATATAATTTATATTACATGTATAGGAAGATGAAACATATATTTTTATATTATGGATTGTCTCTAGCATGGTATAGAAACTCTAAATAATGCTAGCTATTAAGAATAAGCTATGTTTTAAAATATTCAAGTTAAAGCTATGAAATTCCATTAGTGAATAATATAATACAGTGTTTAAAGTAATACGTTATCATAAGTATGTATAATCATTTCAAATCCATTAGTGTGTTTGCAGTTTAGTATGTTTAACTATACAAATTTCGCTACTAATATTAAAAAAATCTACAATAAATAAAACGAGTTTACTTCTTTACAATACATTTTTATAGCAAATAAACGTTTTAGTCATTTCATGTAAAAACAATAAAACTTTCAAACTGTTAATTTTCAATGGAATTTTTTGACAAATCATAAAAATAATTGTAGTTGCAAGAATTATTTTTATCCTTTACAAATGATGATAATATTATTATATGATGATATTGATGATGATGATATTATAATTATAATAATAATATAATTGTATAACTTAAAATGGGCGGGATAAATAGTTGAACTCTGATGTTGATTCTGAATTGGTTAGATTAAGATATTTTTCCTTTAAAATGGTAATTTCAAAATGAGGTTCTGCGTTAGATTTTCAATTGGGCTAATTTAGAAGAGGAACTTCATCAAATAGACTTAGCTCTGGGAGTTTAGGGCGCTATCTCTAAATGTTTCCTTCTAACATTGGATATTTTAATGTTAGAAAGTATTAGTTTAATTGCGTAGAATATATTTAATTTACTATTACTATGAAATTAAATAAAGAATAAATTACCATTTGTAACTTTAATACTAAATAAATATATACATATAGTATATAATGTATGAGATTGGGCATTCTATTTTTCCACAGGTAATTCGTATTTATTTTTACATGAAATGACATTTATCCCTACTAAAATCTAATGACAAGCCGACCTAAGAAATTACAATGGCTATTATTTATTACGTAGGTTACATCCTATTTTCTATTAAACCCTTTAGTTTTTGGCTGCTGAAATAAGAGAAAATAGTTTTTAAAATCACTTTAAATGTTTTAAAGTATTAAACTTTTTAAAATAAACAATAAATGTAATTAATATTTTTTTATAACAAACTAAAATCCAAGTTAGTAATTTTTAGAATTTTATTACTTGTTATGTCTGTTTGTCATGATATTACATGAAAATATAATCAGCATATACGAGTAGAGACTTTTCTAATCGAATTAATTTAACGCATCAATTGTATGACGCTATGTATGTAATTTGTTAATTGGATGGTCATCTAGAATAGAAGGTAAAGGTTAATATCAATTAATCCTAAATTACGTATATTTTTTTTATTTTGACTACTACGTGAATGTAGTAACGAATATAAGCTAATATTAATATCATATACGATTAATTTCATTCAAAATTTTAGTTATTTACCATAAAAATATTTATTTTTAAAGTGCATCATAATTATTATTATTATCAGCTTATTCTGATCCACTGCAAAAAGGATGAATTAATAAAAAAGAAATACGATAAAAGTACGGATAATAAAAAGGATTTAAAAAATAATATGACTCTTGTATCAGCAGTCAAACAGTCTAACTCACCACAATCCACTCGGCATTACGTGATGACAAGTGAACGTGACATATGATTCGATTAACGTACATTGTAAAGACCTGGTGCTGCACGCCGCTGAGCCAACATGATTCGGTTGGCAACACATCTATAGCAGCACAGGTAAGCTAAACATCACTTAAACAATATTCTGCGAAACGCCCTCCTAAAGTCCTTATTAAATATCGTATATATTACAGGATTCAGCACTGAGTTCATGTAGCCGAGCCAAAATGCTATTGCAAATGCATTCGGCGGAATCACACACTGTCTGCAGGCAGCTTTTAAAATGTACAAAAAGAAAAACGGCAGCCAACACGCAATGAAACTGCCCATAATTAAGCCTAATATTAAAGTAGCACGCTTCTCTTTTTTTCTGGCTAATCGTTTCTTCTCTCTCTCAGGATCTCTCGGCTTGTGCGGCTTCGGCAATGCCGGTTCTAGCTCGGATCTGCTGGGCTGAGATTTCTCTTGTTTCCTGTCGGATTTTTTGAAGATCCTCAGCTTTAGGGGTTTGACGCCTCCGCAGCGGCTTACGACGCCGGAATCTGAGGAAGAAGGTTCTAGTTCAGATACCATGTCAGCGTCGATGGCCATGCTCGGTGCCCGGCCCCGCGTCTGTTGAAGTTGGAGCTCACCGTTCACTGATAGCGTCGAACTTCTGAGAGGACACGATGCTAACGGATTTTTTGTTACTTGCGCTGATGTTACCACCTGAGAAAGAGAAGTAGAAGGTAAGTAACTAGAATGTGTTTGAAATCTATATGTAAATAGAGATGATTCTTGAATATTGTGATTTAATTAGAATGTGAATGTGAATATGAAAAGGACTCCATTTTCCGTGCTTAGCCTCTCACTTGGCCATTGTGCGTATTAATTAGAATTTAGATAAATTTTCTATTATTAAATTTAATTAGAATTTAATAATAGAAAATTTATCACAGCCAAATTTGTGTATCAGTAATGTAGCTGTTATCGAAAATTTTACTTCGTGATAAATAATTTTTCTATTAATTTAATCAGAGAGTTAATTGAGCTAAACTAGTAAAAAAGATAATTTTACTTGTTCCTTAACGGTATGTTTCGTAAAAACGACAAAGTTTGTATAATCTGTCTTACCAATATTTTTTTCCGCTATGAAATACACTGATATGTATGGTATTAGGTACATTCGTTCTCACATTATTATGTCAGGAGAAGCACCACATAAGCTGTGAATTCTACAATATCTACAAAGAGTACCGTGGACTTTATAGATAAGTGTCCATTCGATGAACTGTCAACTTATTTGCTATTCTAAATATTATAGAAAAAGTAAATACTTTTACCTTAAGCGTATCTTTTCGTTCGTCTGGGGGAGGAGGTACGGTGTCACCCGCTTCGCTTGTCGATATGTCTGACGCTAAATCACATGTCACCGTTGGTATTTGGACTTGTGGAGTTTCTATAGTTGCTATTTGTGTTTCCCTGGAAGCAGAAAATATGAGACTTTTTCAGTAGTAGATAATTTATTAATAATATGTATTATTATAAACTTAATTTCACAAATTTTGAGCGGGTCTGCCATTTGCGAAATAATATTGTGCTATTCAGATAGAAAATTGTCAATATTCATTGATGCTACACTCATATTTATTTGTCAGGTTACAAGGTCTGCAAGAACTGCTATTAGTCTCCATTTCCATTGCATATGATATACAAGATGTCACCCATGATATTTCCAATAATTTCATATATTCCATTTCCTTGAGCATGATTCGGAAACGAGATTGAATTGAATCTAATTTGGCAATATTGTCTAGCGACTTCTTTGGTAAGAATCATATGTGTCATTTATTTTTCTAATTAATAGATTAAAATTGAGTATCAAAACGGCCACATAAAGTATTCATATTAAATAGACACATTTTTCCATACTTTTATCATTAGAAATGAACCGATAGATTTTGTTATTTACATTCAGTGAATATGAAAATGTTTCCAACTCATTGGCCTAGTAAATTACTAAGCCAATCTTCCAATACAATAGATCTGTTAAATTGCATTCAATTCTGATGTGGTTAATCCTATTTTTAACTGAATATAAAAGTAAGTTTTTATTTTGGCTCTATTATTTTACACATATTATCATGATATTTCCAATAACTTCTTTAGCACTGGATTTGATGATTTTACTTCGTTAGGACTGTTCATTTTCAAATTGGTCTCATATTATAATTTTTTTGAGAACAAAAATTTTTCATGAAATGAAATATTTTTTATCAATTTGTTTTCACTTTATAGCTGCAGTTAATTAGTATGTAACTAGATTCTTAACAAACTCAACCAAAACAAAACCTACTATGCTTTTATCTTTTCAATCGACTTCAGAAAGAAGGAATCCGATAGATTTTTTTTATATTTGTTACCTTATAACTTCGTTAATCGTAAACCGATTTGGATTATTTCTTTTCTGGAAGAATATACTTACAGATTGGCCTCAAAGAATTTTTACCAAAATCGGTTTAGTGGTTTAGTCTTTAAATCAAAATAACTAATTTTGCCACAATTGATGCCGGTTATTTTATGGAACACAATATTAATTACAGTCTGTTAGCAAATATTACTATTCTAATATTTCTTTAAATTACGTCTATATCGAAAACTTGTTTTCCTAATCTTATCTGATTTATAGACTCACTAGAAAACGCAGAATCTAAATAGTCTTTCCTTTTATGATGTGATATTTACTAATATAGGACTTCCTGAAATTTCAATGAGAATGGGAGGTAGATGTCCGAGGAGATAACTGGAACGAACAGGTAAAGCCGTACTAAGCAGCTAGTAGGTAATATCGTAAAAATTGCTGTCATATCTATTACAGCTGCCTTACATTTTTCCAAATTTCGCTGACGGTACTGGAATCCAACGTGGTATGGGGCGCGCCTACCGCCTTTTCACAGATTACTTCGTTTTATTATTGTTGATGATGTAATACCGACAGTGACGAGTTCGTCAGAAATTTTAATTTGGTGTCAAACAGATTGTAACTCACAATTACCGAGGTTTGAGTGAGGGTCTTAAACCATTAAGCAATATGACTGTTGTGAAGTGAAAATTTTAGATTTTAAATAAAAGGAGAAGCAAAAAAACTCCTTATAGGCAAAAGAGAGGTTATATATATGTAGGTAGTCATTGAGATGTTAGTATGGAGTCAATGAACGCTCAATGCGGTCTTACCTGCTCTTTAGTTACATAAACCTAGGTAATCTATAAAAGTAAAGTACTGCAGGGAGGCTTATGTTCAGCAGTAGATAATGGAAAACGAAATATTGAATTAAGTTTTATTCTAGCGAAATTGTAGGATTTTATTACGTATTACATATTATAAATAATAATGTCTGGCAGTAGTCAGAGTATTGGGCAGTTGTCCAAAGACTTATACAAAAAAATGAAATGCAATCTGCACGTATGTCCTTCGGCATAAAGCCAAGTAACTGATTAACTTGAATGGAACTAATACTGTGTTTTTCTGAAAATAACAATCTTATATAGATATATTTATACGCCTGAACAGGAATATATTTCGTATTGTATTACCTATTGGAATAGGGCTACTACTATTACACTATTATGAATTGATAGGGTAACTCTTGGCACTAGAAAAACAACAAATGTTTAGAACACATTTGCAGTGCACAAAAGCTAATAAGGCTTAACAGATAATGGATTTACCAGTTCATTAAAGCAAGAAGTAAGAAAAGCATAATAATTATTGAAATGTTCCAAATATAAATGATGATGAAACATTAAATTGAAAAATTATTAGCATTAAATGTCCATATTTCATTGAGAACAAGCATTTTGAATAAACCGTTCCAAGAGCAAGACAAAAGCTAGGGTTGGCAATAGTATCTTTATTTATACTCGTACCACATATACAGTAAAAAGTCATATTATTATGATTTTCCAGGGGTGTCACGTGGGCGTTACCAACCCGACACTTCGTCTCTAGTTCTGTTATCTTTTTTCACGAATTTGGTAGAAAGATAAAGAATAGTTATATTTGATTTGTCTTTTGTGAGGCGAATGAATATAGCCAATAAGTTGTTATATGAAGTATACAGAAGATGTTACCCATTATTGTTGGTATTGATGTGTCCAGCTGGCATGGGGTGAGTCGCAGGCATTGGCCGTGTGCCTCTGGGCGGGTTAGTAAAGCTCGTTTGTTGCTCGTTCTAGAAATTAATAGAAGTTACTAGATTTAGTATATAATTTCTTGATAATTAAATCTGATTATCTTTTTTTATTTACAAATGGTAGTATTTTATGGGACTCCGTTTACTACTATTTTCTTACTTATTCCTGCTGTAAAACAATAATATGTTATAACAAACAAATAAACATATTTTTATTAATAAATAGATAGAAAGTTAAGTTTAGGATTATTAAATAAACAGCAAATTTGGACAATATGATACCTTCATATTATGTTCAGTATGTTTCTATTATTTGAGTGTATCTACATTATGTTTTTTTTTTTTTCAATAAATTATTATAATAAATAGAGTCAATGGATGCAGGTGGCTCAGGACCGTTCCTTATTGCAATTTATGGGGGAGGCCTATGTTCAGCAGTAAACAGATAACAGCTGAGATGATAATGATAATTTTTATTATAATACATAATTGTCCCCACTTACATGTTAGATATAGAATTCAACTAACAATTGTCTTCAAAGTAAACATTGATGTCTCTGACATATACATTTTTACAATCAAATAGTATTCTGCTATAAATAGAATACTATAAATATTTATTACCATAAAGTGATAATAATGATGAAATTTCTATAAATTATAGTATATTTAAAATAACAGAATGACTGAAAACTAACTTACCGGCCTTGGTCGAGGATTTTTTCTGATGCCTCTCCTGGCCCTAGCCTTAGCTGCGAAGTATATCCTAATGTATACGAACACCATGATGCACGATGGGATGTAGAAGCTCCCCAGTGCCGAGTATATCACGTAGCCGATGTCATCGGACACCTGTTGACAAAGAGAATGTTAATTAGGAGAGGCCAAAATTAATTCGATTTCAGGTAGATACGTAATTAAAATAAACAGTATCTATACCCAGTATCTTTTTCCCTATTTATAAAATTTATAAACAGATCGCTTTCTTTTTACAAAAAACAACACAATATCAAAAAAATACTTTTTTCTTAAAAAAAAGAAACTACAATATTGGGATTGTTAATCTGACGACTATCTTCATGGTAAGTGGTAACTGTCATTTTGAGACATGAAGAAAATATACTGAATAATCAATTGAGTAAGTATAATAAGTTCAATGCCCTTTAAAAATATTGACGTTTTAAAAAATAAATGTTAGCACAAAAATTAATTATTTTCCAGCCCTAACATCAGCAGAAAATTATCATTATTTTCACGATGGAAGCCTTATATAAAGAATAAGAAGGACGCGTCCAATATTAAAGAAGGTAGGTAACAAAAATATTTAATACTTCAATACTGTTCAACGAAAGGCACAAAAGTATGGTAATCAGCAGGTAAAGATGTAATCCCTATATATTATTCACCTGCCTGAATCAATCGAGATAGAGCGATTGGAAATTTCCACTTCCTCAGCAAAATACGCTTATGTGACAAGTTATAAGCGGAGAGGGAAGTATTACTCTACTTCCCACTTCGTTCATTAAGTGTTCATTATTTCATTATAATTATTATACATATTATTTTATTCTTTTATCAATAATAAAAAAGATTGACTTTTGCTATTACTATATCAATTGCGTAATTGATATGTTATTGTTTTATTTTGTCGTCATTAGATTACCTATAAATACCGCTCCAGGAGGATGATTTAACGTCGAAGACTAAAAACTTTATTTAAAATAAAGTTCACTACTGTACTAGGTACTTTCTAGTAGCGTTAACAATGGATGGTTAGTCACGAAAACTTAACGTGATTTTTGCAAAATAACACCTAAACCTATACTAATATAATAAAATGGAGGAGTTTGTTTGAACACGCTCATCTGTGGAACTATCAATTACATTTGAAAAATTTTTGGTGCATTTGATAGCTTATTTCTTAAGGAAGGATATAGTTTATTCAACAACACGATACAACCACAGATTGATCTATAGGACACAGCTAATATAATACAAAAGAAGAAAAAAAATACTTAAAAAAATTATGACTACCTGTGATTAATAGATAAAATATTTAAAAGTATGTAAGTAATATACTATTTACTCAGGAATGATCTAGCGATCATTATTATTATTTCTGACTGTACATACATATCCAGATCTTATATAATAAATAGATAATAATGACTGTATTAGGAAATTATTTGATAAACAATTTGGGCATGTTTATTCGCTTGCGTTTATTAACTGTTCCACACAATATTTTTTATTTTGAAGGCTCTTTTACAGAATTTAATCTCAAGTCCATTGTCCGTTTTCAATGGAGCTTTGAAATATTGGCCGAGATAAGTCGTATGAAGAGTGGTGGGCATTCGAGTGCCCGATGACCGATCACATAATGAATATCAGGCCCTTTTTAGGGTTTTGTAACAAAAATTCATAATTTAAATTGATATATTTGTTTTCTGACTCATAGATAATGTGTTGTTGTGACTGGATACATTTGTTTATATAATACAATATTTATTTAAAAAATGTTTTTTAAAAAAGTACATTTTGCTTTGCAAAAAGCGACACACATACACACACACACACACACACACACACACACACACACTCACACACACTCACACACACACACACATACATACAAGCATTTGTTGTTTCGTAAATCAAATTAAAAATAATTTGAATATAGAACGTGGAATCATATTCATTTTCAATTCTTATTGACACAAAATTAATATTCGATTAATACAAGAGCAACCTTTTCGATTGCAAAAAGAATTCTGAAAATCGACTCAGAATTGCTGAGCAGTAAACAGTACAGTCAAATTAAGAAATTCCTATTTATGGAAGTCTCTTAAAAGCGATTAGTCGTTAAACTTGAACTGGAAACAGCAACACTGTTTAAATGCAATGACATTTGGTGTTGTGATAGCAATTTGATAAACTCATAGGTACGTTTTGATGATTGATACAGACAGACAGACAATATTTCTAAAAAATATTGTTTTGGCCTCTATTACTCTTATTAAGAACTGTTATATAAATTTTTCTTAAATATCTCTAGGCACACCGTTGATTAGTTAGAATTTTATTATATTATTAAGATATTACCTAGTAAGGATTCGTAAAATGAAATTTGTAGTCGTAAGATTTTTAATTGCACGTAATGATGTTTACAGAAAACTTTAAATGCAATGAATTATTGTTAAACATATTATAATTTTTATACTTAGGTATTCGTTTCAAGTATTAATAAAACCCGTTAAAATATTCAAACAATCACATCCAATCATTATTTTCATAATAACTTTTAATAAAGTGTAAGTTACAGTGAATGACGTCACGCCACTGTAATCATTTGTCTTCTGTCAAAATGTAAGCCAAAATAAAGTCTTTAATATTGCTGAATTTGCACATGTTTTCTTCTATGTGACGTTTTGCTTGACGCTGTTCATGCAAGCGTTTTAATGTGAAGCTCATTTTCATTAAGTATTATTGGAAATTGGTATATGAGTTATATGTATGATTATTTTGGAAATAATAGATACGAATCTATGATGATCTAAATGGCTCAATTGCATTTGTTTTTGAAGTTCCCACTCCATCTTTTCGGTGGGGAAAAAACTTGGAGTTAAATCTTGATAATACCGCTATGCAAAATTCACTGCCATCACAAACACCCTATTCAGTAGAGAAACCAATCTCATCTTCAGATTCAATTTCAAGAGCACCGTTACGTTTTGTTGGACAACTTTAATAGACGACGATTGGGGCGGTCCCAGGTCGGAAAAAATGGAAGATTCCGTCTTGAACGGCCTGTGAATGGCACTCAATGTGCCGAGACAAAGAGCGTCAGGTAGAGCGCGATGGAAAACACATGGACATAAATTATGATCGTACACGCAACTTTTATATACATACTTTCGAAACAGCAAAAATGTCCATATGTTTTTGCATTTGATTGATATACTTTTATTTGAGAGTCTATGCATATTATAGAAGTTTTTCTGACTAATAATAGTTTTTCCTTACTTTCATGCCCACTTTACTTTTTTTTATCGATATTACACATGTTGTTAAAGTAATAATATTCCTTACAGCACCAAATAAAAAAAAAATACGAGTGACGAATTCGAAGCATTGGGTTTGAATATGCATCAGTCTTAAGAGATGTTATGCGTATTGTGTTAGATATTATACTGGATGAGTGGAAAATACACAAAATATATGACTTCAAAAACGCAGCGTTTTTTCCCACAAAAGGTCGTCTTGAGTCACATTTCTACCGAAAGCCTTGGAGTGTACAAAACATTTTTTTTCAGAGTGGTTAATTAAAAAAACTAATGAAAAACCTCCTGAGGTTTATCTTGTTGCGATTTTATAGAATATTTGCGTCTTAGATTAAGCCGCACTAATTAAAAACAGGGTAAATGGCTCTCATCGCTTGAAGGAGGATAATTCGATAAAATAAAATGCTCGACTTATCTGCTTCTCAAGTGAATGAAATTATCTGGTGGAGAAAAAAATAGGATGTGGTTTTTTATTCATTTGCATATCAGATTGAGAAATCTTTATATTTATACAGGACTACAGGAGACCTCTGATGAGATTTTTATTAAATTTTACAATTTTGTATAAAGGTCAACTGTCAACATAATAAAAAAGATAAAAGTTAAGGTATATAAAGGACTTAACCTAAATATTCAGATATAAAAGACACGGAAAACTTTGAAACAAAAAGAATAGTTATAGTATCTGTGGTTATAGGTTACTTTATGGTTACAATTTTATTAAGAGATTGATACAGTATTTGACATATAAGATTTCATTTCTATGTATTATGTTAGTAGGATGTGAGTAACTTCCGAGGAAATTTTTCATTTCTTGGGATTAGAAGTTTAGAATTCTTGACAAGAAATTAACTTATATAGGCTATTCCCGTGCAAAGGCTTAATAAAATCTGGTGAATTTTGCTTTATGTAAGCACGAATAGATGAATATAACACCGCTGTGAGTATAAAGCAATTTACAAAAAAAAAAATCATTCATGCGCAGAGATCTATAAAGAACAAAAATCTACACTCCTATTTTTATCAAATGTTTCTTGACCATTGCGTTTTTTGACAATGGATGTGATATTATCTGATCCTGTAATCTTATGACGCTGTCATAAAAGTGACCGAGTTTTTATGGAGATTATAAATTTATGACATGAAATTTATTTTAACAATATGAATCTAAAATTGCATGCGTCTGGTTATACGGGGAAGTACTTAATATTTTAAGTTTTTTTTTTTTTATTACAGAAAGTATACATGTACGAGTAGATTTTTTTTATACAACTTAGAATGGCTAACAAGCTGACAGCTCACCTGATGGAAAGTGGTAACCGTCGCCTATAGACATGAGCAGTACCATGGACACAACAAAGTATATTGTTTCGCCCATGATACCCCCCATGCGTTGTCATTCTTGAGGACTCAGGTGTTATTCTTTTGTACCCTGTAAATTTACGCCATATCCCACCCTTCAAACCGAAACTCAGCCATGCAAATATAAACTGCTTTACGGTTGAAATACGAATGGGACAGAGGTACCCAAGCAAACGAATTGTTATCTTTATTGACTTGACTAATCTTATGGTGCATTGTTAAGAATTGTAGCTTGATAAATTTGGCAACAAGCCTGGCAAAATTTAAAGAAAAAGTATTGTTGGAATTTTCGAGAATTCCAAAAAACGCTGATTAAGTATGCAGAGCGCTATACTATTGGTCGGCTCAAGGCGGTGGATAGGTAAACCGGATCTTAAGGTAAGTTCGAATGAACTAGAAGTTCAGGGAACCCTAAAAGCAGAGCCGAATTCTGCCAGTTACAAAGATTCAGGTCAATGGTCTTCACCTTCATTATTCTATTGTGTTCATAATTTCCATACAGTTTTCGTATCGTAACACGTAATATAATCCACTACTAACCGTTGCCGGATGATTAGTTTCAATTTCTATAATCTCATTTCACGAACGGTTAACATGCATAAAACTTAACTAAGCTGTTGAAACAGATTTGCTGAATTAGATTTCAGTCAAATTTCTTTGCAGAATGATTGTTAAAAGAAATAGTTGATTATTTAGTAGTGTATTCTTTTATAAGGGGGATTATTAATGAAATAGTTTTGAATTCCGCGTGGGAACACAAATGGAAATAAAATATAAATGTATAGTAAATTTATTAGAATAAAAATTATGACACGTTTATTTGTTATATTCTTTGGGCGTTTATCACTTCAGTTGGGTTCTTTTATTTACCACTACAGTGCTGTATAAGAATCTCACATCAAACGTGAAAATCCGCAACCATTTGCGGATACTGTTATCCAAAAGGTAAAACGTTAGGAGTACGGTACAACAACAAAAAGACGCCATTACTTGTTATTGTACGATTGAAATAAAGGTACGAAATGTTGCGGCTCACTCTAGCGTATAGAATGATCGGTTGAATAATGGTTTTAATGGGACATTTACTTTAAAGATACTATACAGATATAATTTCATTTGCAATAATTTTAGCTCATTGTACTCATATTAATTTCACTTTATATTTCACAATATAGTTACATTTCGAATCTACTACGAATAATTTAGTCTGTCGTATTGTAGCTCTGTAGATACCATATATTAGATATATAATAGCTACTACTATACATATATATATACTATGGCCGGACAATCCGTTAATTTGCTGCTGCATCTATAAAGCGAAATGGACTGGGTAATATTCATGTCTTCATGTCTATTCCTGGATAATATCACTAGTTATATACGTCTTTGAGTTTACTTACTCGGTCCTTTGTTAACTTATTCAGTTAATGGCATGTTCTATCTTATTTCTGAATTTAAATTAATGGTCTGTTGGCATGTTCTATCTTATTTCTGAATTTAAATTAATGGTCTGTAATACGAGGGTCAAACGGAAAGTCCTTAGAAAATCGAAAACTGTATAAATTAGCAAGTTTTAACCATTATTTTATCTTTTCAAAATAGTGTCCATTCACGTCAATACATCGCTGCATCCGATAGAACCACTGAGAAAAGCACTTTGCCCACTCGTCCTTAGGGATCTTCGACGACCTTCTGAAACGTAGCAACAGCTTCCTCGGCGTTCATAAAACGTTTTCCTCGAAGTTTTTCTTTTATTTTTCGGAATAAATAAAAATCACAAGGTGCGAGGTTGTGGCTATAAGTCGGATGACCCAGTAGTTCTACATCTGAGGTCGCCAAATAATCGATCGTTTGCCTGGCGGTGTGCGACGAAGCATTGTCTTGGTGAAGGAGGATCCTACTGGGAGGTCGTTTCTCACGCACTTTTTCCAAAACACGTGGCAAACAATTGTTACTGTACCACTCTGCAGTAACTGTTTTTCGATTCTCTAAAACAATTGTCGTGTAATGACCTATCCTTCCAAATAACGAGGCCATCATCTTTTTTCGACCTCTCTTCACTTTAGTTGGCCACTCCTCGGAAGGAAACACCTACTGAGCTGACTGTCTTTTAGTTTCGGAATCATAACAATAAATCCAGCTTTCGTCTCTTGTAACTATGTCAAACACAGAATTTGAGTCACCTCCGTTAAATCTTTCATGCATTTCACGGTACTAATCAACACGACGGAGTTTTTGAGCCTCGGTCAAATTATGAGGTATCCACCGGGCACAAAGCTTCCTGACCGCCAAATGTTCATGGAGGATTTTGTGCACTTGACTCATACCAATCAATAAGCTTGCCCGGATCTGCTGATAGGTCACTCTTTTGTCAGCCTCTATCATACGCCGCACAACACTGATGTTATCTTCAGTCGTCGCCGTAGAAGGTCGTCCATCGCACATCATCGGTGAGATTAGTGCGACCACGTTTAAACTCATTAAACCAGTTGTAAACAGTGGCACGAGATGGGGTTTCATCGTGAAAGACCAATCGTAGTCTATCATAACTTTCTTGTTGACTTAGATGATATTGAAAGTTATAAAAAATCATCGCACGAACTTAACATGAAAATTTTTTCGTGTTAAGTTCATGATAACGTTACACAGACTATTTTCAATTTGCCGCCAAACCGTAAAACAAATGACAAAAGAATAAATTATATACTCAGTATTATTCGTAAAGAGTTCCATTTTAAATTTTTTTTATTTTTTTTTATTATATTGTTTTCAAGTAGCCAGTTCTAAAAATTTTCAGTGTAGCCGTCGTAATATTATACGAAAATAATTAAAAAATTTAAAAATTTACCTTCCAATAACTTGATCCCATATGATTGTGATTTCTTTTACACCACTATATGAATACCATCAGTCGGGTTTTAGTCTGTTAATACATGCAAATTTACATTTTTCACATGCAGCGTTTTGAATTTAAAATTGTTTATATAATTGTTATACATAATAGAAAAATTATCGTTAAAAGTTAAGAGATCTAAAGTTAAGATTATTTTTGTATAAAATTATAAATTTTTATATATTATATATGATGTTTGTAATCTGTATTTCTATAATTTTTAGTTTAGTATATATTTGTTATTCGTATAACATAATCTGTAAATGATACTAGATAATGGTTCTGTTTATAGCCGTCTTCTTATTTAAGGTTTTGTAAAAAAGAAAACAAATAAAAAGATTAGTAACATAATACAGAGCTGTTTTAATACAAATAAACGATGTAAGTTATTGGTAGGAAGTGTTATTTTTCGAAAATCGTGAAATTAATAATATTCTTGCACGCGTGTTCTTCGAAATCCGACTGTAAGTCTGAAATCAGAATTTTATTTCCCCTTAACTCATTCTTTATTTACTTGTAATCGCAATAATCATTTCGTAGTCCCTGAATATATTTCTTCGGCTTCGACACCAAAAATTGCGACACCAACGACCTTCACGCCTAAATTTTTAATCTTTACCTCCATTAAAATGTATGTACCGACAGCAAAAAGGACAGATGAAATTCTGTGAGCGTTAATTAAACTGTGAATAGATTCCCGCGGGACAAAGAAGAATTGTTACAGAATGATGCTTTTTGTTGGGTATTGCTCTAAACTTGATATTGATTTATTTTACGATCTATTGTAGTAGATAGTATAGTGCCTATAAATTACTAGGGGGAGATTTGGTTTAAAAGTCTTTTGCTTGTATCTCGGTTCCAGCCGGATTTTTGTTGTCAACTAACTGAGCTCGTATGCCTATGTTTCATTATTCAAGAAGTACATAGATGTTATATTGTATTTTATAATATCTGTGGTTCTGTTCATAGCCGCCTTCTTATTTAAGGTATCAGTTTTGTAAAAAAGAAAATAAATAAAAAGAATATCTGTAGTCTGCATTCTATTAATATTTCTCGGACTGTATAGTTTATTAGAGGTGTTTACCATAATTGGAAATTAGATTGGCTAATTCGAATTTTAAATTAATTCGTGTATTTTATTATTTTGGCCAAAAAATACTTGAATACACGATGCTTCTTGTTTGTGCATCTAAACTTTAATAGAGAAACACGTAATTGATATCACAGCATTAGTATCGTCAATAAAAAAAGTTACGGAATAGAATAGCCGTTTCTCTTTTCAAAGGAAGCTCTTTGTCTCAAGTGGTACAGATAGGAAAAAGTGTTCCCTTTTTCTTGTTGAAGTTAAACGGCTGAATGCTATTGTTCTTTGGCTATTTCCTAAATACGAGTACAATATATATTCAAGCGCTATTTATACTTAACTACAAAAGAGTTGTTCTTCGCACCTATCTTAATATGTAGGTATTATTTCGATATCTTTGTTTTTGTCTTGACAGTTTAAGTGTCGACTTGTCAACATTTTACCAAGCATATTGGAATTAACACGGTAGGTGGCGAGTCTGCGCCGTGTCTTGCATTAATTGGGTTTTGCAACGGTGTTTATTACGTCCAGATAGGTCGTTAGAAATATAAATTGACAAAAAGCTTAGCTGTCTTGCTAGCGAGATTTAGTTACTGAGGTTTGTTAAATCGACTTTAAAGGAGACTTTTTCATGTTATTGCCAATTTTATATCGATTTTGATAAATTATATTAACAATCAATACAGTTTTTTTTACTCACGTATTATTCCCGTATTAATTTTGCCACAATTGAAGTAATTATTTGTGGGACATCTTAAATTATTTAATCAATAAATCACTAAACCCAAGTGGTTATGTAATTAGTTCTTTCTACTTAAATTTTCCAATTTTATTTTTATTAAAATTAAGTTCATTGTACGAATACATGAATAATAAATATTACTATAGATTTATATTATGAATATTAGGAATAATTTTGATATTATGGGAATGAATTCTCATTTACATTTATTAAAAATTTATTCGATATACAATTAGCTATTATATGTATATTAACGAAGTCATATTTATAATATATCTCCAAACTTAAAGAGATTTCTTTAAATATTTTTTTTTTAAATAATAGGCACATAGAATAATTGCAAAGAATAACGTCTAAGGGTTATTACTGATTTAAAAAGATTCTCCTATTTCAGTTGGCAAGTAACCTTTCTTTGATATGTATTTAGGTCAGGCGGAAACAAACAAACGTGGGACAGTAAAACTTCTTTGTTTTTTACATAGGACGTGTCTGCACACGGAAGACAAGTCGCGTGAATGGGCCACTTGATTTTGTATTCCCAATAGTGTTAGTTAAACAGGAGTGACTCGAACAGGTCGTTTGTTGTGTGTAGTTAGGGGAACGTTCGTGGAACGAACGTGGGAAAATAAATGGCTGAAATGATGATAGAAAATGTTGTATTTGATATAACGTAACGTTTAAAAAAGACGCAGGCTAAAACTTCATCTACATGATCGGGCAATATTTCACTCCATTGATGGAAAACATATTTTTTATTTATATAAATTTACAAAATTACTCGTGTTAATAAGAATGAGATATTGGATGAAATATAGGTATTAATCGTTCTTTATTATCTGTATGAGATATCTTAAATATATTTATAAAATACTAGTTATGCCTATGTTTTTTTACTTTCATTTTTAAATATTTATTAATAAGAATAAAATGAAGTTTATTTAATTTTCCATGCCAAATATTATATGTTTTCTGATCACAACGATTAGCTGCATCTTAAACAATTCTAGTAACCGAACTTATGCGATTAATCGTGGGTGTATGTTTAAACTTTATGTACTGAAGTCGTACTACGAGCCAAAATAATTTGCGTATCTTAATAGTAGACAAAAATATGCATGGATATTTGTATAGTGCTGTGAGTTTAAACAGTAGTAGCACTTTAAATGTACCTCTTTTACAGGCTATAAAATAACTAGTAAAGTTATAAGTACTTGTACTAAAGTGCGAAATGTTTCTCGTTTTAATAGCCCACACATGGGATCTTATTTTATTTATCGATAAGTAGGTAAAATTAACTAAAACTTAAAAATTTTGGAATCTATTAATATTACTGCTTCCTTGTTACATGACTTATCATCTGACATTCGAATTGATGATCTACTGACTATTCTCTGCTATAATATTGAAATAGCCATGGCTCATGGTTAATCTTTCTTCTTAGCCAAGTATTTAGCACACACCCATTTAATACGACTTGTGATTACGATTTATGACTGTGTATAAGTAGATTTACTTCAGGAAAAAAAACCAGTAATTTCAAATATTACTATTTAGAATACGAAATATGCAGAATAATTTGCAACAAGCAGCATTTGACTTTACATCTATAGTAAAATGGCAACATTAAGTACCACAAAATTTATTTAATTAACTCAGTCTTTTTCGAAGTCAAACCTTAATATATAAACAAAAACTCAGACGAATTGAGAATTTCCTCCCTTTGGAAATTGCATAATAAATAAAGAGCGGAAACAAAAAAAAAATCTTATTAGATTACCGCACAGGGTTTACACGGTATTAAATTAGCATGCATTGTATACACAAACCTTCTATAAAAAAATATTCAAATGACAGTAAAACCCGCATCAAAATCAGTATGGTAGAAGTAAGCGGAGAAACAGATAGAAGCAGTAGTGGCTTTTTATACTACTAAATTATTCAAGACTAGCTATTTCCCGTGGGTTTGTCCATGTGAATTTGTATGTAAAGTACCTTATGTGTTAGGTTGGACGTATTCGTTAGTTAGACCTATGCGTGTATCAAATTTCATTCATATCCGTTCAGCTAAATCATAGTCCGTTAAATATCACATTTATTATATTAATAGGATAATTATAAAACTTTTCACTAATATTTACATATATAATTAATTTAAAGACGAAATATATTAGTGAAACATATTTCTATCTTTTAAATAACATATACTTATAAGTAGTTTATATATAAACAAGTTACGAGTAGTTTCCTTGTCTTTATGATTTTATATTATGTAAGTGAGCATTACTTCTTGTTTTATTCGGTACAAGTAGAGTTAATGTATACGACGACTAAACTGCGGCTTGCATAAAATTAAAACGAGCGGCACATATTAAATGTAAACATTATCTTTTGAGATTCAAGATTATGTCGGCGGTTTACCCGTCTCCTACGAATTCCAACTTTGAGATGGATGAGGTAATAACACAGAATAACATTTAGGGAATTCAATGTTCATGGCTACGAATATGTTACTTATCATTAAAAAAATAGATTTAATTTTTTTTAATTCGAATTTTGCGACCCTTATAAACTTCTTTACCCTAAAAAAGCTAAAGGTTTCAGTTTCTTCAGCGTCGGCAAGATGTGCGAAATGTACTTGTTACTGCAAGCATCCATACATTACGGCAGCTTAAACAGTTATTGTCAGGCGGGCCGTATGCTTGTTTGCCACTATAGTAGTATAGAAACAAAGTAATGCTAAAATATAGGAGTGTGTTTTTCCTGTCTATAAACTAGAATTAACTCAGAAGCAAACCCCGAAA